GATTTCACCTCACGGTGTCCCCGCACCATCCACCACCAACCCCGTTCTCTTCCAGTTCCCTAACAGTCGTGACCCTAACCGCACGGTTTTGAGACCCTGGTCGACGACGGAGGCCGCCAACGAAGTTCCCGACGCCTACAGCTCTTGGTCGAGTACCGTGAAGCCGACGACGTCACGGCCGAACAGCCAAAAAATCCAATTAACATCTTGGCCAAGCACGCAAAAAATCCCTACGACGTCGCCGACCGATGCCTCAAAAATCCCTCCGCCACTGTGGCCAAACGTCCAAAAAATCCAATTAAAATCTTGGCCAAGCACGCCGAAAATACCTGCGACATTGGACACAATTACCCCTAGAAACCCTGCGCCATTGCAGCCGAGCGGTCAAAAAATCCTCTCGACGTTGCAGCCTAATGCCCCAAAAGTCCCTACAGCATTGTGGCCTAGTACTCAAAAGACCACACCATCACCGTGGCATAGTACTCAAAAGACCACACCATCACCGTGGCATAGTACTCAAAAGACCACACCATCACCGTGGCCTAGTACCCCAAAGACCATATCACCATCGTGGCCTAGTACTCAAAAGATCACACCATCACCATCGTGGCCCAGCACCACAAAGAGCCCACTGCCCCCACGACCAAGTACTCCCAAAGTCGCCACGCCGTCCTGGCCCAGCCCCACAAAAAACCCCACACCACGACCGACCACCCGGAAAACCTACCTCTCCACCATCCCCAACACGATCCCCGAAGAACTGAAGCTGGACCGAATCGGAGATCAGAACCCGCGCCCTCACCAACCCTTCCAAGTGACAAATCTCGACGGAGACAACATCTACATCCAGGACGACGAGATCAAGTACATGCAACCCACCCGACTCCAGACCACGCTCTACGTCCAGACCCCGCAGGAGAAACCCGTCCCGAAGCCGGCCAAGACCCAGGGCCCCCACTTCCAAAAGTACTACTCGGATCTCCTGATGCAAGACGGGATCGACCGACTCGGAGACCTCCCCACGGCCCCCTCGCTGGAGAGGCCGACGAACGACAAAGGCAAAGACAAGGACCAGGTTGCTGACGTGTTCGTGGACCGGATCAAGGCGGCGAGGTGCGGAGACCTCTGTACGTGCCGGGACGTTGGCGGGGCCTTCGACGTCCATTGTTCGTGTAACGGGAGCTCGGTGAGAGGCTATCTCTTCTGATTTGTCAATTCTTAAAAAATCTTAATTATATTTTGCCCATGACATCACAGACTCAAGTCTGCGATGCATATAGGTATACCATAAATATGATGCAGAAAGTTTTATTTTAGGATTTTCTCCAAACATCCAACAGAAAATTTAAGTAGCTTAATGATTAATATAACTAACGTCAGAAAACTATGAATTAGATTTAGAATGTCAAATTATTATCTTATTAATTTAATAATGCGATCAATCTTTATTTAATAATCTCAGAATAAATAGTCACATTATACAATTGATTTCAACTATAAAATTGAGCCTAACATCACAATGAACAATAAATAATTAACCAATGCCACTCATGACTTCCTGAATGTCAACGCAACCGAAGTCCTCGGGAATTTCAAATAGCTGTCGCTCACGAATAATAATTGCATTACGTTTACAAACGAACTAAAGCGGAATAAATCAACATCCAATACGACTCGAAATTAAGACAGTGGAGCAACGAACCCCATCATCACGCACTTCCGCCACCGACAGGAGTCATCGATAATCCTTCTGACCCGATACCTGCCGCGCAACACGGGGAACCTGACCGTGACGGACTGCCGGGAGGTGACGTTCCGAGACAGCCTCGCCCCGCTCACGACCCTGAGACACGTCCAGGTGGAGCGGATCGAGCAGCTCGTCCTCAACCCCTTCTCCTTCCTCTACCGAGTCACTAACCTCCACCAGATCCTCATCATCGACACCGAAATCGGGATCCTCTCCATCGGTATGCATCGCCATGCCCTCCATTCATTCGTATTCCTTACTTTCCGCTCGGTTGGAATCGACTGCAACATTCGGTTGCATACTTGCGCCCACCCGCTGCGCCGAGCTGACTGTATTATATGAGGAAAGAGACTCCCCCCGAAGCTTACAAGGGCCATCATGAAGGATTTGCGATGCAGGCATGGGTTGAAGCGCAAAATCTCAGCACACAAGACTACAAGGCATAGCCTTCGCTCTAAATTTCAAGGCGGGATCGGGGGGACGGAATGAAACTCCAATACTAGAGGATAAACGTGCAATTTCAATCGAAGTAAGGCATTCTTCTTAAGTCCAATATTAGGCATTAATATGAAGCATGAGCCGCTCGAAAACTTCTACTACATACCTCAACCAGAATGAAAGACAGACTTCAACCATGACACAAAACACAATGCAATGTGCACAATACTATCTGCACTGAAAGATTCCGGTCATGAACGAAGACTAACATCACAATTGTACTGAGCGATGCTCACATTCAGTTGACCTAATTTATGATTCCATGGTATAGGTAGACCCCAGTGATGTTAAGCGCCATTAGCAACGAAATCCCCTTATATTCAATTCACTCATCTCATTACATGAACTTGTTCTCGGTCACTCGTCCAACTCGCGAAACTCAGAGACCATCCCCACTGTTCTCCCCCTTCCAGGCACATTCGCGCAGGCCTCGTACATCCACATCATCGGGTTTATCAACGTCCGCGTGGACACCGTCCACAGCCGCTCCTTCGACTCCCTCCACCACGTCAACTACCTCTTCTTCGAGAACTCCTACGTGGGCGAGATCCACGACGACGCGTTCGGGGACTTCACGTCCAACGTCTCCTACGTCCGCCTGGCCAACTCCACGCTGGGCACCCTGGATCGGGGCGCCGTCAAGCTCCACTTCGTCGAGGACTTCGTCCTGGACAAGGTGTTCTTCAGCGAGGGGATCCCGTCCAAAGGGATCCAGATCGAGCAGGTCATCAACTTCCACCTGCTGCGAAGCAACGTGGCTTCCATGTTCCCCGACGCCCTCATATTGCGATACAACGAGACGGCGGCCATCGAGGCAAACATATTTCGGGGAATGGTGTATACTGGCGCCTTTCGGAGGGTATCCCCCTTCGATGTTCCCAACAGACGTGAGTTCACCACTCATTCATCTTCCTCTTCAAAATCAAAATCTGTGACTTGCATCTGAACACAAGGCGATCGATTACGCGACAAGCATGTATTTCTTCCGCATTTATTCGAGACCTCACCGAGTAAAGACGAGATGCGTAACGAGGATACCAATGAAAATAACCAGTCGAGCATATCAAATGAAAAAACGAGTCCCCACTCACACCCTACTCACCACGCACGTCTGAGCCTTCCCTCCCGTCCCTTCCAGAGAAGAACCTCCACCTGATCTTCGCCAACAACGTGATCCTGCGCGGGGAAGCCGGGAGCCTGGAGCTCCCCACGACCCCCCACGTCCTCCCCATCATCCTCAACAACACCCTGGCCGTCTGCCACTGCCCCTGGTTCCAGCGGAGCTCCACCCACGACCCGTTCCTCAAACAGGTCCTCGCCACGGGGCGATGCGTCTCCCGCGGTGACGTCTACTTGGACCCGCTCCAGATCGGCGACAAGTACTACGAATGCCAGCTCGCCTCCAATTACGGATGAACGGTTAGACTCTTTCCGTGTCGTGCACGAGTCAGTCGGAATCCGTCCGCTTTCGATACGGATATCAGTTAGGTCCCAGCTGCTCTCGGCGGGATACCAGCCGATTTGTCCCACTCCATAAATTAAAGCATATTTTGACTCGAGGCCACCGCACACTTAGCGTGTGACGCGTGCGATTTCGGCATGCATCCACATGCGTTCGAATGCAAGGGAACAAGCGTGTACATTTACGCCCACACGCCTTCACAAGTATAAAGGAATCGCAATCACATGTTTTTAATAGGGTTTTCTTTTATTAATCAGAATATATATTTTAATGCGATGCACTGGATTGCCCTCCTTAACCGGGATTTAACTTAGGATTTCTCTTTTTGACAATTTTGTCCCTATATCTGCGGAATGACCCCAATGCGTGAGAGCATGCTATGGTGTTCCCTTGCGTGCGAACGCACAGGGACGCATGCAGACACGTAATCCGCATGCGTGTCGATATCGCACGCACACACAAAGTGTGGAACGGCCTCGAGTGGTATCAAGTTCTCCAAGTTTTCAATACAGACTACTTCTAGGTTTCATTAAAATATCTTCAATAGACTATGATATGAACAATGTATTGCTAACATAGAAACTTGAGTAACTTTCTCCACAACAAAAAAACTGAACATTTTGCGAAATTACAAAACTTAATTTCCACCTACTCACATGCCATTCCTTTTTGCAAAAAATATTTTTCTTCTGGCTTGACACCCTATTCCAAGATTTTAGAAAACTGCTTATCACCAGAAATCAACAGCACAGATAGCCACTCAATAATATGCATTTTGCTGTGATTGCAGAGCCTAATAAGTCATCTAAGGCAAAAGAAAGGGGCAAATCAGCATTAAAAAATGCACAGGATGTTTTTCCTTACGTGGAAATATTAATAACACAATAGTGACGACGATAACGGTCAACATCAGTCATAAATATAATATCAGACGAAAGGCAACCCCAGAAAGGACTCGACCCCACCCGAAGGGTTCCCACCCACTTCATTTTCTTTCGTTCGCCTCATTCTTTCAGTCTCGGAGATGCATCCTGCGAAGTACAAAGCTGTGATCTACAAGGATGGCATTCCACTCGATGTCACCTCCGTTACATCGTCCGTTTATGTTGCTAAGTTATTCGAGTTCCTCGTCTGGATCCCGTGAGAGCTGCCGTCACTGATCTCACGCGTCCATTTCTCAAACAAGATTATCGACAATAAATCTGATGCATGTACGACGAGGCTCCGGCGTGGAGACCTCTGGTGTGTGTTTTGCAAAACCGAGGAATCCGATTTCGAGAATGGGAAGGAGACTCACGGATCCAACTTGAAGACGTACTGGCCCTCGGGACTCCTCTCCTGGACGTAGGTCACGTTGAGGCTCATCATGGTCTCGATCAGTGCCTTCAATTCCGCCTTTTCCTTCCCGCTGTACAGCTGGGAATTCACCTGGAAAAAAAAGAAACCCAGGTTCCTCAAATCCGATCGATTCCGAGAACGGCACCGAAAGGAACTTGCCGGTCGCAGGTTGGGCTGGATGATGGACACGAGAAAGGGGACGATGTCCAGGACGAGAGAGGGTCGGCTCAGGTGTCGCCTCGCGTGGGCGTCTCCCTCGTGGATCAGGGTGTCCAACACGTTTCCGGTGTGTGAACGTTTCTGTGACCACTGGAAGAAATTCCATATCGTTCACATTTTAATTCTGCCAGGATATAATATCCCAACCACACTAAACATGAAGTTCACTGAAGAATATTTCTCCAATTTTACTGATATCTATAAGTGTGATGGATGATTGACAGTAACTTTGCTCACTGAGAGCACACATGGTTAACAGATAAGCTCTCTAATCTCCTCACAACTTCTACATTCAGTCACCACTCTGGTAAGAGATCTAAAACCCATTGTTATAGTTTAAAATATCCTTAACTCTCACATGTGAATTCACCCATGTAATATCCTGCAAAGAAGGTTGAGCTGGTAAACCATTATAACCATGGTCAGCTGGTACAGATGATGCTTTAAAATTTTGTACATATACACAGCTGAGGAATGGGCTTGATAGAGCATACAGTTTTTTGTCATAGTTACCTTCCTGGTATGTGCTTGCTTACCCAACCATCAATCCTACAAGTCACTTCAGACCTTGGTCTCTCTTATTCCCTCATTACTGAATTTCATAAGCGCAGCTGCTGGGATCGGATGCCGAACACGTGGTCGTGTGATACTGGGAAAGGGACGAGGCATTCGGAACAAAGCCGGAGAGATTAATAGTGGAGGGTCAAATGAAATAACCATGGAGTTAGATTAACATGGCTGGGACAAGGGACATCTGATATTTAAGCATAAATTGTTCTATCCATCAGCTCATCAGTCTCAAATTCTCAAGACCAAAAACTCAATCTGAAACAGGAGACATTAGGAATTTTTCCTCATCATACACTCCCATTCCCCAAACCCATTTCATTTTCAACTCTCACTGCATGGGTAGATGTATCACCGATGTTCCCAGAAATAGAAGTTAAAATTCTTACGAAAACATTATGGCACATTCAGGAAAAAATACATAATTACATTGTCCAGTAAGCAATACATTTTCTTTGGGCCAATAGTGTACATTATACAAAACCTAGGGCCAGCGCTGATGATAGCCAATTATCAGAACAATCCCAACAGATTCTAATACATCTGCAGCATCTGAACATACAAGACACGGATCCAACACGAAAGACAACGCCCCGACGTGCACCAGACGGCAAGACTCAAAGGGAGGAAGGGGCAAAGAGGAGCGAGCAGCACCTCGAATTGGGCATTCGGGAAGGAGAGCTTGGGGTATTGCAACGAAGAGAAGAGGAAGTGGAAGGCGACGCAGACGTAGGGCATGTACGCCACGAGGTTGTAGACCTGGCTGTGCCGCACTTCCCGGTTCAGGATGTCGCTTGTGGCGAGCCACTCCATCCCCTCTGCCACCTGGAAATCATCACATCTTCATATTACGTCCAGTCTTTCGAAATCAAATTCAAAATNAAATTCTCAAGACCAAAAACTCAATCTGAAACAGGAGACATTAGGAATTTTTCCTCATCATACACTCCCATTCCCCAAACCCATTTCATTTTCAACTCTCACTGCATGGGTAGATGTATCACCGATGTTCCCAGAAATAGAAGTTAAAATTCTTACGAAAACATTATGGCACATTCAGGAAAAAATACATAATTACATTGTCCAGTAAGCAATAAATTTTCTTTGGGCCAATAGTGTACATTATACAAAACCTAGGGCCAGCGCTGATGATAGCCAATTATCAGAACAATCCCAACAGATTCTAATACATCTGCAGCATCTGAACATACAAGACACGGATCCAACACGAAAGACAACGCCCCGACGTGCACCAGACGGCAAGACTCAAAGGGAGGAAGGGGCAAAGAGGAGCGAGCAGCACCTCGAATTGGGCATTCGGGAAGGAGAGCTTGGGGTATTGCAACGAAGAGAAGAGGAAGTGGAAGGCGACGCAGACGTAGGGCATGTACGCCACGAGGTTGTAGACCTGGCTGTGCCGCACTTCCCGGTTCAGGATGTCGCTTGTGGCGAGCCACTCCATCCCCTCTGCCACCTGGAAATCATCACATCTTCATATTACGTCCAGTCTTTCGAAATCAAATTCAAAATTTGGGTATGGCTGATTTATGACAACTCAAGGTTACAAGCATAATGAAACCAAAAATAAAAAAGGAATGTTCTTAGAAGTAATTTGTAATGACTTCCAAAGCTTTTTACTCCATCTTTTGAATTTTTAACTAGAATCTAAATCAATCACCAATCCAGATCCAAATCATTCCAGTCAAAATATCAGTTTTTTTACATTAAATTTAAATCACAACCAAATCAAACTGCAATTGCCACTTTACATCCCAGAAATGTCAAGAGAAGCCAAAGAAAACCTGCAGGAGTGCAAAATTCATGAGTGATAAAGTAGAAGGCTCACAGCTTGCATGTGGGTATCCTTGAACTTGATATTGAGGAAATTCTCGTGCATTCCTCGAAAGACCTTCTCGTAGTCTCCGAAGCTCTGGGCCACGTGCAGGACGTGGTAGAAGCGAGCTGGGTCGGACGTGTTGTCCTGGAGCTTCTCCAGGTGATGCTGGCGGCCTGATGCCTCCTGGACCGTGGAGGAGTCGAGAAGTGCCGCTGAGGACGCAGACTCCCTCACTTCGCCCAAGTGCTTCCTGTAAAAACATTGTTTGTATGCTAATATTCTTGCTTGTTTCTTCTTTCAATGACATCATCAGATAACACACACTTATTTTTCAACAGTGACCTTGGTTAGTTTCTGCAATAGTCAATCTTCATTCTGGTCATACTTTATGATAAATCCAGCAAATGAGGTCAAATTGCTTAAAGGGATTCTGCTACAGACACACAGCTGATTAATATGGTTACTTGGTTGGGAAGTCACTGAAATTCTTCACATTTGATAAAATGGTATTGATGCAATTTTCTTCCAT